CTCTTTGCTTCTTGGTGAGCCTGGCTAGACATTCATCAATCTTGTTTTGTGATTTTTTTTCATTGTTTTAATTGTAGTTGATTTCTGATTTTATGCCATTGTGATCTGAGAAGATGCTTGATATGATTTCTACTTTCTTGAATTTGAAGATACTTTGCCTGTGTCCTAATATGTGGTTTATCTTGAAAATGTCCCATGTGCACTTGAGAAGAATATACATTCTGTAGCTTTGGGGTGAAGTGTTCTGACAGTGTCAATTTCATCTGATCTAGTGAGGCATTTAGGATTGCTGTTTCTTTGCTGATTTTTTGTTTAGTGGATTATCCAGTGGTGTCAATGGGGTATTAAAGTCCCCTACTGTGATTGTATTGCTGTAGATCTATCCCTTGATACCTTCCAGAATTTTTTTTATATATTTGGGTGCTCCTGTATTGGGTGCATATACATATGCTTACCAGAGTTATATCCTCTTATTGTATCGATCCCTTTAGTATTATGAAGTGGCCCTCCTTATCTATTGTTATGTCCTTCACTTTCAGGTCTATTTTGTTAGATATAAGTATTGCTACCCCAGCTTTTTTTTTCATTTCCATTTGCCTGAAAAAATTTTTCCTATCTCTTTACTATCAGTCTGTGTGAGTCCTTTGTTCTGAAGTGAGTCTTTTGTAGACAGCAAATATAAGCGTCATGTTTTCTTATCCATACAGCTACCCTAGGTCTTTTGATTGGAGCATTTAATCCATTTACATTTAAGGTTATTATTAATTGGTACTTGTTTGTCACCATTTTCATTCTTTATGCCTGTGTTCCTTCCCTAGATTTCTGCTTTTTATAGTAGTCCCTTTAGCATTTCTTGCATTACTTCCTTGTTGGTAATAAACTCACTTTGCCCATTTTTGGACACTAATTCTTGGATTAAATCCCTTGCTTTGCATCACTTTGTATATTTCATTCCATTCCTTTTGGCTTGTTGTGTTTCTGTTGAGAAATCAGTTGATATTCTAATAGGAGATCCCTTGTAGATAACTTTCTGTCTCTATCTGGCAGCCTTTAAGATTCTCACTTTGTCATTGATGTTTGTCAGTTTAATTATGATATGTCTTGTTTCGGTCTTTTGGGGTTCTTCTTGTATGGTGCCCTGTGTGCTTCTTGGACTTGTGTGGCTTTTTTCTTCTCAATATTAGGGACATTTTCTGTCATTATTTCTTCAAACAGGTTTTCTATTCTTTGCTCTGCTTCCTCTCCTTTTGGAAACCCTATTATGCTGATGTTGTTTCATTTCCTGTTGTCCCAAAGCTCCCTTAGGCTCTCCTCCTGCTTTTTAAGTTTTCTTTCCAGTTACTCCTGTGCTAGGGTGGTGTTTTGTACCTTGTCTTCTAACTCACTGATGCAGTCCTCAGCTTCTTCTAGTCTACTGTTGATGCTTTCTATTGTGTTCTTTATTGTGGCTATAACATTCTTCATTTCCTCTTGATTCTTCCACATGTTGTTGAATTTGTCTTCCATCCTTTTCAGTGTCCTTATAACCATTGCTCTGAATTCTTTCTCTGATAAATTGCTTGCCTCCATTTTGTTTATTTCCTTTTCTGTGATTACTTCTTTTCTGCAATGGGGGTTGTTTCTTTGTCTCCCCATTTTTGCTGTTTCTTTGTGATTGTTTCTATGTATTAGATCAAACTGCTATACCACCCAGATTTTTTGAGTTTTTGTTATATAGTGGATATTTTGTGGGACCCAGTGATGCAATCTCTCTGGTATTTTAGGATGGGTATTCTAGGGATGCCCCCTTCTTGGGATATTTGGGTTCTCTTTGTGTAGTTGGGTCTTGATTGTTATTGTCCTGTTTGTGGATGGAGAGTCCTCTCGGGGTGTCTGGTTGTATGGCTCGCTCTCTACCACGTTGACCAAACAGCACAAAATACAACTCAATAAGACACGACACAAAGGGAACAAATCACGAATGTACTCACGACCAATAACCCCACTCTAAGTGACCAGAGAAAAGAGAATTAAAAGAGCAAAATGAGAGCAAAAATGATATGGAAAAAAGAAGAAAAGGTAAAAGAGAAAGAAGGCAAAGGAAGAAAAAATATATGGATAGAAAACACCACAGAACAAACAGATAAACCAAAAAATGCAAATAACAGATACCTAGAAAAATAAAAATAGAATGAAGAAAAAATGTGAAAAAAGTAAAAACTAATAAACTAAGAAAATAAAGAAGAAAAAAATTTTAAGTAAAAGATAAAGAAAAATAAAATAAAATGAAAAAGTGAAGTGTCATTTGTTTCAGCCAAGTTTTAATGCCCCATGGGGGCTGGTTTAAGATCCCATTCTTTTGTCACTTATCAGTTTCCTGTTAGGTAGTCAGCACCATGTTGAAGTTCCAAGTGATCCACTGCTCCTCTCTTTGTGTCTATTTCCACAGCCTTGCCTGCAAGCAGGTGAGACCAATCTGCCCACTTAGCCTATCTCCCTGCTGTCAATCATAATCCCTCAAGTGGCTGATTCTGACAGGGCTATAGGTAGGGAAGGTATTGTATTACTTTCTGGGACTGAAAGACCTTTCTTCCACCCAGTCCCCGAGGGCTCTTCAGGGCTCTTCAGATTTTTTGTGTCCTTTGTTCTGCTCAGGGTTTAGTCTCAGTGTGGCTGTATTTTTTCCCTTGAGGCTGCTGGGAGGGGCTGACTTTTCAGGAGAAAAATGGCTGCTTAGGTCCAGAGGGTCAGGAATATCCTAGTGCCAGACTCCTAGTTACCTCTCCCTGACCAGCTCTCCTCCTCAGCCTTTCCCCAGATTCCACAAGTCCACACCTCCACCTGAACCACAGTCATAGATGAGTGTTTGCATGTGAAAGGTCCTATGAACTGGGTTTAGCGAATAAAAGCAAAGACCAAACAGAGGCAAAACAGCTGCACGACTGCTAGTTTACAGCCCCCTGGCACTGCATGGCTCTGGCAGTTCTTCAGGCCACCTCTCTGGGCTCAGCCTCTCGCAGGTATGGACTTAGAGCTAGAATCCCCTGCCACCATCAGCCCTGTGGACTTCCTTCCCACAGTCAGGTTTTACACCAGCCTTCACTGGATGCGGACTTGGTGCAGCGCAGGTTCCTTCTAACCCTCTCGTCCCAGTGCTCACGAGACTCTCTTCAGCCCAGATCCTGATCCTACCATTCTCCAGGCGTCCTCTGCCCTTCTAGGCTGCGAACTGTGTCACCCGCTGTTGCATTGCTTTTACAAAACCTTCTGTGACTATCAACCTTTTCAGCTTCTAGAGTCCTCTTCAGTGACCCTCAGTAAGATTTCCTTAAATGTCACTTCCTCAGAAGATCTCAGAGAGCAGAATAGTGTGGCATAATTCTTCAGGGTCCTTTGGTTGATTCTTGTATGTGCCCTGACGGGTGATCAAACCTGTAACCTTGGCATATCTGGATGATGCTCTAACCAACTGAGCTACCCAGCTAGGACCAGCACAGTCTTTTGTCATCAGGATTTGAGGAATGTTCGTGTCACTCCTGAGTTAATGCTTTACTCCAGTCACAGAAAGCACAGTAGGAAATTACCTCAAATAGGTGCTGCTGTGAACTTGCTCCCTTAAAAACTACAGTGGAACCTTGGTTCTCAAACTTAACTCATTCTGGAAATCTGTTCAAGAAGCAATTTGTTCAAAACTGAATCATTTTTTCCCGGTAGAAAGAATGTCAATTGAATTAATTGGGTGCAGACCCCCAAATAATTCCCTGTTTTAATCTTCCTTATATATAAATACCTCTTTTCTTAAATTTATCAAACCAATCCCTAGTAGCTTTAAATGAGTCACTTCTAGCCTGCCTCCTCAGGTGTCTTTCAGGAGGTCAGTATAGGACAGTGGTCGGCAAACTCATTAGTCAACTGAGCCAAATATCAACAGTACAACGATTGAAATTTCTTTTGAGAGCCAATTTTTTTAAAATATATTTTATTGATTTTTTTACAGAGAGGAAGGGAGAGAGACAGAGAGCTAGAAACATCGATGAGAGAGAAATATCGATCAGCTGCCTCCTGCACATCTCCCACTGGGGATGTGCCCGCAACCCAGGTACATGCCCTGGACCGGAATCGAACCCGGGACCCTTCAGTCCACAGGCCGACGCTCTATCCACTGAGCCAAACCGGTTTGGGCCCCAATTTTTTAAACTTAAACTATATAGGTAGGTACATTGTTATTAACTTAATTAGAGTACACCTAAGGCTTAGGAAGAGCCACACTCAAGGGGCCAAAGAGCCGCATGTGGCTCAAGAGCCGCAGTTTGCCGACCACAGGATTAATTCATCACATAATGGATGACCACGAATGTTTTTGTATTAAGCTGTTTACTGCTCTCCTGACGAAGCCTGGCACCTGCCACCCTATCCCCTTCCTTTATTTTTGTTTTCTCTGCCTCGCACAATACCCTTTCAAATTGTGGAGACAAGTGCTCCATTCAGGAGACACACAGGCCTCACCTGTGCCAAGCACAGAGGAGAGTTAGACATGACTCTAAGCAGTGTGACTTGTGGAGTCACCAGATCACGAGGCAGGGTGAGTGCCACCTGCTCAGGTCATTGTTTCTGTGGCAGCTGCTGGTTGCTGCTGGCCAGCGTCCCCACGTGTGGCAGGGAGGACCCAGATAGCCGTGTGCACTGAGGGTCAACTAGGTTTGTCAGGCATTGGGGGACGTCTGAAAAGAGCCAGATTGTGGCTTCCCCGGCACAGTAATCCAAGCCCTTCTAGAGCGCCCTTCAGTTCACCTTGGGCCGCTCAGTACTTTGCCTTTCCCACCTCCCTTACCTTGCATCCAGAAATCCTCACATGTGCACAGGACTTGGAGGAGGTGCTGTCATAGCTCGGGGCTGCTGTGAGGACATTTATTTCCTGCCTGAAAGGCGGCTCAGTAATGGCACTGAGCTCCCAGGCCGTTTGCTTCCTTCTAGGCCTGCTGCCTGGCTCTGCTTTCTGACCGATGCTTTCTGTCTTACAGGATGCCACCTGTGGAAATGAAACGAAGAAATAAGGTCCAGCTGTGTTCATCAAAGCCAGCATTTGCCTCTCTCCTGAGGTAAACCCATGAAAGAAACTGGCATGCAAAGTGTTTGGCGTGCGTTTGCAATCATTTCCAGTTACACTGGCTTACTTCCTTCCCACACAAAGCTTAGCGATTTGACGTGGACACCCTACATTTAAGGAAGAGCTTGACTCTCCCATCTCCTTTTGTGCTTAGTCATACATTTTAGGAAAAGTCAGACCGGTGTTGCTTTCACACAGGTGAGATTAGGGAGGTCTGTTTGGTTGGATCATAGAAAAGTGAACTGTGTTTTAAGGTTTTATCCCCCCACCTTGTGTCCCCATGTTATTTTCCATCCTTACTTGTGGCTTCTTCCCCCTCACTTCTAGGTTAAGTTTTTCAGTTAAAACTTTCACTGACTATTAATGAACTACTACGCATTCATCTATATAGACTGTAATAATGATTGTTCATTATGGCTGTCAGGACTTGTAGGGAATTTACTCTTCTATCCACAAATAATTTTTGCCTCTGTCACCTCAATTTTAACAGGTTAGTCAAGATGATTCTAGATAATAATTATCTAGTCTGGGCATGATTAATTGTATAAAACAGGCGTGAGGTTTTTTTTTTTAACATCTTACCTATTAAGGATAAAAGTCACATTTTATATTTTTATTTTGTTTTATTATATTATTGCACCTTTCCAATACTAGTTCTTTACCTTTAGGAAGCTGCAGATCCCATTAAAATCAACCAACTCTCTGGAAACCTGCAGATATATAAACTATTTCTGCATATGGTTATAGGTGAGCCACCACTGCTTGTAGTCTGTCCATGGGGGATGTCTGGTTAGGGCCACTGAAAGACTTGAAGAGAGATCTTATACTTTTTTGACCATGACCTATAGGAAAAAGTACATTTTACTTTTATAATTTAGTATACATGCATATTTACAATGAGAAGAAAGAATTTTTACCTTTCTTACTCAAGATGCCCTGTATTCTGTTCTATTTACTTAAAAAAATAATAAAGAGACTATTTAATATTTAAGTGTTTGATCTATGAACCAGGAGGCCATAGTTCGATTCCCGGTTAGTGAAAATCCTGGGGATGCGGGCTCCATCTCCAGAAGAGGGCGTGAAGGAGGCAGCCTATCAATGATCCTCTCTCATCACTGATGTTTCTATCTCTTTCTCTCTCTCCCTTCCTCTGTGAAATCAGTAAAAAACTGTTGATCATGAGTCACAAAATTGATTTCATGAACCACCTGTGGGCTGCAGACTGAAGCTTTAAAATGCTACTCTAGAATCAAGGTATTCTTCAACTTTATTTCCTTCCTGAGAAAACCCTAAGGGGTTAAAGTATTTATGAAGCTTTGCTCAGTAGGTGCAGAAGTCTGCAGCCTAATGGACAAGTAGATTTGGCATTTGTCCCGTGAGTTGTACTCTCTGGGGGTGGTGCAAACTCCTCTGCAAGGAGAAATCAGGAGCAGCTCTGCTAGGAAAGAAACCGGGAGGTGTTGCCTGAAGTGCTGTAAACAATTAATGTGGATCTCAGCTTTGTCAGATACGGGTCAGTGACCGCCGTAATACTGTCTAGTTACTTCACTTCTCATAGCTTCAGTTTCTGTCTAAACTGACTCATAGACTTTACTGACCACTCCAAGCGTTCGTTCGTAGATGTAACAATAGCAGAAATGTAATGTAATACGATACATCCTATATAATAAAAGATAAACATGCAAATTAACTGTCCCTCTGCTATGCTCAAGCCACACCCACAAGCCACGCCTACCAGCCAATCAGGAGCAGTTATGCAAATTAACCCAACTAAGATGGCGGTGGCCACGGAGCTGGAGCGAGCAAGAGGCTTGGGTTGCCCCCAGTGATGGAGGAAGCCAAGCTTCCTGCCTGCCCTGACCTGGGCTCCAATCAAGGCTACAAAGTTTCAATTATAGAAGATAAATAAATCCCAGAAAAAAAAGAAAAAGAAAAAAGGAGAGGCTGGGAGCTTGGGTTGTCAGGGGTGTGTGGCCAGCCTGAAAATGGCCCTCAGCCCCTCACCCAGGCTGGCTACACCCACATGGGGTGAGGGTCCCTGCTGGGGGGCTTGGTCAGTCTGGAAAAAGCCATCATCCCCTCACCCAGGCTAGCCAGGCACCCCAGTGGGGACCCCCCATCCTGAAGGGGGTGTGGCCAGCCTGAAAACGGCCCTCAGCCCCTCACCCAGGCTGGCCAGGCACCCAAGCAGGACCCCCACCCTGATCCAGGACACCCTTCAGGGCAAACCAGCCAGCCCCCACCCGTGCTCCAGGCCTCTATCCTATATAATAAAAGGGTAATATGCAAATTGACCCTAACAGCAGAACAACTGGTCACTATGACACACACTGACCACCAGGGGGCAGACGCTCAATGCAGAGCTGTCCCTTGGTGGTCAATGCACTCCCACAGGGGGAGCTCTGCTCAGCAACAAACCAGGCTAATGGCTGCCAGGACAGCGGTGGTGGTGGGAGCCTCTCCCGCCTCCTCAGGAGAGCTAAGGATGTCCAACTGCAGTTTAGGCCTGCTCCCTGCCGGCAAGTGGACATCCCCTGTGGGCTCCTGGGCTTCCAGAGGGATGTCTGACTGCCAGCTTAGACCCATCCCCCAGGGAGCAGGCGTAAGCCAGCAGATGGACATCCCCCAAGGAGTCCCAGACTGCGAGAGGGCACAGGCCGGGCTGAGGGCCTCCCCCCACCCCAAGTGCACAAATTTTTGTGCACTGGGCCTCTAGTTATAATATAATACACAGTAATATAATACAATGTACTACAAGCATGTCAAACTCAAAGGCTAACATGGGCCAAATAAGCAAGGTTTAAGTTTATGTGGGCCACAAAAAAAAGCTTCAATTTTCAGAGAAAGGTAGATTTATTTCAATAGAGACATTCTGAATACAAAGGGCTGAAATAAATGAGTAAACGTTAACATAAAATAATAGAAAATTTTAATAAAAATTAATATTTTTCTTGAACATTAACTTACCAGACACTGGATAACTGCACAAATAAACAAGTATAACACAAATGAACCTATTTTTCTTGTCCTCCAAAAGTGAAATATTTCCTGTTGTGCACACCAAACAAGTTAGTTCAAGACTAATGATGTGGCAATTGGATGCTAAAATCTTTGCTGCTAGTATTAGTGGCAAGAAATGGTGTGCCTGCACTTAAGGCATGTAAGGGAAATGAATGCAACGCAATTATAGTAATCAGTCATTAGCGAATGTTGTAGTTTGTAAATAATTATGTATAACAGGATATTGTAAAATTTAAGTTACAAAATTTTTATTAAAAGGTTTCTTTTTTTAACTGAGAATTTTTTTAAGAAAAATAATTTTAAATATAATAACCTTACATGCAATAAACATTAATATTTCAAGAAAAACTATTTTAAATATATGCAATAGAAATTAATATTTCAAAAAAATATTTTAAATATAATAATATTACCAAAACTGTACTAATATAGTGTAATATCACAAAAGTTGTAGGAAATATTAAAAATCTGCAAATAACAGGATTACTTCTAAAATACTTACTTTTTTTTTTAATCTGGCTCTATTTTGATTTATCAGTTTACGTTGTTCATTATATTCCACATATGACTGAGATCATGTGATATTTATCTTTCTCCAACTGGCTTATTTTGCTTAGCATAATGCTGTCCATGTCCATCCATGATGTTGCAAATGGTAAGAGTTCTTTCTTTTTTACAGCAGCATAGTATTCCATTGTATCATAGTTTTTTAATCCATTCATAAGCTGATGGGCACTTAGGCTGTTTCCAAATCTTAGCTAGGGTAAATTGTGTTGCTATGAACATAGGGGTGCATATGTCCCTTCTGATTGGTGTTTCTGATTTCTTGGGATATATTCCTAGAAATGGGGTTACTGGGGCAAATGGGAGTTCCATTTTTAATTTTTTGAGGAAACTCCATACTTTCTTCCACAGTGGCTGAAACAGTTTGCATTCTCACCAGAAGTGCAAGAGGGCTCCTTTTTCTCCGTATCCTCCTCAGCACTTGTCATTTGTTGATTTGTTGATGTCAGCTTTTCTGACAGGTGTGAGGTGGAATCTCATTGTCATTTTGATTTGTATCTCTCTGATGATTAGTAACTTTGAGCATATTTTCATATGTCTCTTGGCCTTCTGTATGTCTTCTTTCGAAAAGTGTCTATTGAGGTCCTTTGCCCATTTTTTTATTTGATTGTTTATCTTCCTTTTGTTAAGTTGTATGAGTTCCCTGTAAATTTTGTAGATTAAACCCTGATCTGAGACATCATTGGCAAATATGTGCTCCCATGCAGTGGATTTTCTTTTTGTTTTGTTGATGGTTTCTTTTGCAGTGTTTGCCTTGGCCTCCACCGTGGCTTTGTCCAGAAGGAAGTCGAGTGTCTGAAAGATGTCTGGTTGACCTGGTCTAATGAGCATATTACCCTTCTATTAGTATAGATAGTAAACAGGTTCTCCAGGTTAATGTTGGAGATTAAACCCTTATTGGAGATAACATTGGCAAATATGTTCTCCTATGCAGTGGACTTGCTTGTTGTTTCCTTGATCGTTTCTTTTGCTGTGAAGAAGCTTTTTATTTTGATGTAGTCCCATTTGTTTATTTTCTCCTTGGTCTCTCTTGCCCTAGGATCTGTATCTGTGTAGATATTGCTATGACATATGTCTGCAATTTTGCTGCCTATAGAGTCTTGTAGGATTTTTATGGTTTCTCGTCTTACATTCAAGTCCTCTGCCATTTTGAGTTTGTTTTTGTGTGGTGTAATTTGGTGATCTAGTTTCATTTTTTTGCATGTATCTGACCAAATTTCCCAGCACCATTTATTAAAGAGGCTGTTTTGACTCCAATGTTGAATATTAATTGAGTATAATGGCTTGGGCAAATTTCTGGGTCCTCTGTTCTGTTCCATTGGTCTATATGTCTGTTCCTGTGCCAGTACCAGGCAGTTTTGAGAACTGTGGCTTGGTAATATAGTTTGATGTCTGGTATTGTGATCCCTTCAACTTTGTTCTTCTTTCTCAGGATAGCTGTGGCTATTCAGGGTCTTTTTTTTTTATTCCAGATGAATTTTTGGAACGTTTGTTCTAGATCTTTGAAATATGCCATTGGTATTTTAATAGGTATTGCATTGAATCTATAGATTGCTTTAGTTAGTATGGACATTTTAATGATGTTGATTCTACCAATCCATGAACATGGTATGTTCTTCCATTTGTTTATGTCTTCCTCTGTCTCTTTTTTAAATGTCCTGTAATTTTGCAAGTACAGGTCTTTTATGTCCTTGGTTAAGTTTATTCCTAGGTATCTTAATTTTTTTGGTGCAATGGTAAATGGGATTTTTTTTTCATTTCTCGTTCTGTGAGTTCATTATTGGTGTATAAAAATGCTATAGATTTCTGGGTGTTAATTTTGTATTCTGCTACATTGGCAAATTCATTTATTAGGTCTAGTAGTTTTTTGATGGAGTCTTTGGGGTTTTCTATGTGTAATATCATCATGTCTGCAAATAAGGAAAGTTTTACCTCTTCTTTTCCAATTTGGATGCCTTTTATTTTTTTCTTCTTGTCTGATCACTATGGCTAATACTTCCAGTTCTATGTCAAACAGGAGTGGTGAGAGTGGGCATCCCTGTCTTGTTCCTGTTCTTAGGGGAAATGGTTTTAGTTTTTGTCCATTGAGTATGATGTTGACTGTGGGTTTGTCATATATGGCTTTTATTATGTTGAGGTATTATCTCTCTATTCCCACTTTGCTAAGAGTTTTTATCAAGAAAGGGTGTTGGATTTTGTCAAATGCTTTTTCTGCATCAATTGATATGATTATGTGATTTTTGTCTCTCAGTTTGTTTGTGTGATGTATCACATTTATTGATTTGCGGATATTGAACCATCCTTGCATCCCTGGGATAAATCCTACTTGGTCATGGTGTATGATCTTTCTGATGTACTGCTGGATCCGATTTACTAGAATTTTGTTGAGGATTTTGGCATCTATTTTCATGAGGGATATTGGCCTATAATTCTCTTTCATTGTGTTTTCTTTATCTAGTTTTGGTATTAGGGTGATGCTGGCTTCATAGAATGTGCTTGGAAGTATTCCTTCCTCTTGACTTTTTTGTAATAGCCTGGTTTTAGTTCTTTCTTGAATGTTTGGTAAAACTCCCCTGTGAAGCCGTCTGGCCCCGGGCTTTTGTTTACTGGAAGCTTTTTGATGACTGTTTCAATTTCTTCTATAGTTATTGACCTATTGAGACTTTTTGAATCTTCCTGATTGAGTTTTGGAAGGTTGTATTTTTCTAGGAATATGTCCATTTCCTCCAGGTTGTCTAGTTCTTTCAAAGAACCAGCTCTTGCTTTCATTGATCTTCTGTATTGTGGGGGTTTTTTGGTCTCTATGTCATTCATTTCTGCTCTAATCTTTATTATCTTCTTCCTTCTGCAACAGTGGTTCTCAACCTTCCTAATGCTGTGACCTTTTAGTACAGTTCCTCATGTTGTGGTGACCCCCAACCATAAAATTATTTTCATTGCTAATTCTTAACTGTAATTTTGCTACTGTTATGAATCATAATGTAAATATCTGATATGCAGGATGTATTTAGGCGACCCCTGTGAAAGGGTCATTAGACCCCCAAAGGGGTCGTGATCCACAGGTTGAGAACCGCTGTTCTGAATACTGTGGGTTTTTCTTGTTGCTCTCTTTCTTATTCTTTGAGTTGTAGAGTTAGATGATTTACTACCATTTTTTCTTTTTTTTTTTTTGAGATAGGCCTGTAGAGCTATAAACTTCCCTCTCAGGTCTGCTTTCATTGTGTCCCATAGATTTTGGACTGTTGTGTTTTTATTGTCATTAGTGCCTAGGATGTTTTAAGTTTTTTTCTTTGATCTCTTTGGTAACCCAACCATTGTTTAATAGCATGCTTTCAGCTTCCAATTGAATTTTTTGGATTGTTTTTTATTGTAGTTTATTTCTAATATTATGCAATTGTGGTCTGAGAAAATGCTTGATATGATTTCAATCTTCTTCAATTTTGGAAGACTTTGCTTGTTACCTAATATGTGGTCTATTTTTGAAAATGTCCCATGTGCACTTGAGAAGAACGTATATTCCGTGGCTTTGGGGTGAAATGTTCTGAAGATGTCAGTTAAGTCCATTTGATCTAGTGAGTCATTTAGGATTTCTGTTTCTTTGCTGAGTTTTTGTCTAGAGGATTTATCCAGTGATGTCAGTGGTGTATTAAAGTCCCCTACTATGATTGTATTGTTGTCGATCTCTCCCTTGATATCTTCCAGGAGTTTTTTTTATGTATGTGGGTGCTACTGCTTTAGGTGCATATATGTTTATCAGGGATATATCCTCTTGTTGTATCGATCCCTTTAGTATTATGAAGTGGTGTTCCTTATCTCTTGTTATGGCCTTCACTTTGAGGTCTATTTTGTCCGATATAAGTATTGCTACTCCAGCTTTTTATTCATTTCCATTTGCCTGAAAGATATTTTTCCCTATTATTTCATTTAGAAATAAAATGTAAGCCATCTAGCACAAAGTTTGACTGGCAATAGACATTAGTCATCATATCATCACCCCTACCGACTCCAAAGAATAGAGTCCTTTATTGCCTTGCTGTCTGGATGCAAAGTCATCTGTGGTTCACTTTCCCAAGTTGGGAAGATCTTGTGTCTACTCTCAATCGTAAGTCAGGTGACCTGACACTTCATCTTCTCTGAGCAGATCCTGAACTTGGGCATCCATCCTGGTATACATAGGACCTTTCAAGATTGGCTGGACCTGCAAGGCTGCTATCACTATGACAACTAAATCTGGGAAACACATCATGTGTAAAGCAGGAAGGGCTGGTCTTCCACCTGTTTCCTTAGTTTGAGTACATGTGAGGTTTTAGCTCAGTTCTGAAAAGTGTTAGTGGCTCATGAGTGGCAAAGCCCGGATAAAACTGAAGCCGGTTCACCCCTACTCCATTCTGTCATGTCGCCTCTGAAATATAAGGGGCACTCTGATCTCCACCTGTAGATTTTAGACTAAGAGAAAGTGAAGGTGATGAGTCTGAGAAGAGGGGGTTCTGTGTGGGGATTCGGGGGAGGATTAGCTTGATTTGCTCTGTAGCATTCAGTCCTTCTGGTAGATAAAAATAGTATTTTAATATGAGTGTCACCTATTCCTTTTCTTTAACTAAAAAATTATTTTTCTATTAGATAATGGTTGTGTAAAGAATTAGTTTAGAGTTTGAATTCATTCAGTCATTTATTAAATGTATGTTGTCTGCCTACTCTGCCAGGCACTAAAAGTGAGAAAAAGCAGAGGCACCCCCTACTCTCATCAAACATTCTTTTGTTTGAGAGAGCACCTGGAGAGACAGGCAATAAGAAGAAAAATGCCCATGGTTCTTGTTCTTGAGTAAATCTTAATTTAATGATTTTAGTTAAATTTAGGAATTTAGTTCTAGCTATATCTAATTTTAATGTAAGCTTTATTTTCACGGTTGACACATTCATACATATAGTGCCTTTACATTTGGGAATAGGTTGGCATCAATATTTTTATTTTCCCTTATTAGTTCCTTTGTTTCTTTCTGTATATGGCAGCTAATATTTTATCACTTAGTGTTGGTTTGTTTGAAAATTTTGTTCCCCCAAGCCCTGCCCCCTTAGCTGTTACATAGTTTTGATTCCACTACCTGGAAAGTGTTTCCATGCTAATCATGTAGTTCCTTTGCATATCCTGTTCTATGTACTATTTAAATACTACTTAAGGTGATTTTAGATAATTTAAAAATAATTATACATTTATATAGTCAATAAAACAATATGAGCAATATGCTACAGTTATTTTCATTTGTGACTTCAAAAGCCTACAAGTGTCATGTGCACTTGGGAAAATCATTTCTTATCCTTATCTTCCAGGTTTCACCAGTTTCACCCTTTTCTTTGTGCAGCTGATTTTAAAAAGCTTGCTTCCTTGTATGGTAGCGATAAGTTTGATTTGCCCTATGGGATAAGGACCTCAGGTCAGTAATGTTATTCTTACCTTGCCCTATTAAATATGAGTGGTGTTTGATGTGAACTGCATGTTTATTTAAAAATAAGGCCTTTTCATCTTTCTGCTTCATAATGATTTCTAAAGAATATAATTTTGGAATGGGAAGAGGGCGTCCATATAACTCCTTTGGAGGCAGGATAGAATAAGAGGATTAAAAAGGGTAGATTTTTATTGTTGTTGTTAAGACACTGCTTTATACTTTTGTTTTACCACCGTATTGTTAATGAGTCCTGAGGCCTTACCTTATTCCAATTAGAATTAGCAGGATAACCCTGTGTGTTAACTTCCTCCCAGTCTCCCATTTCACCTCTTTACTTGTGAGCTTTCTTTTATTTCATCAGCAAGTTCTAGCTCCTTGACCGAGGAGCTAGATGAAAAATTTAATCAATGGATGTTTTATTTTTGCTAAATTTAGAGAGAAATATTTCATCCACTAATAATGAGAAACTTTCCCCTCTGCTTGAAACCTGATTGGCTTGCACAACTTTATGTTCTCCATTTTGGGGAGACCCTAAAAGCCCAGAAGGTGACAAGCCTACAGTTTTCTGACTTAGATTTTGCTTATTGATTGTGTGTGTGTGTGTGTGTGTGTGTGTGTGTGTGTTTTAAAAGGTGATTTCTATACTGATTTTAGTTTCAGAATTATCTGATTCTGCTAATTTGGGGATTACTTTTTATGATTGTTTTCCCACTAAGCCCCTTATTTTTCTGGGGTTTTTGGAACGTGTCCTTAAAGCATCGACCATTGTGATGTGTCTATTACGTAGTGCTGGCTAAATGCAGTTGTATCATGAATCTTCATCTCAGAAGAAATCAAATGTAGCCACACCAGTTGTAATGGCTTTGGGGGATGAGTGGGGTTAAAGGTGGCTTACTATGTACCCACGAAGCCACAATTCCTTTCACTCACAGTACTCCATTTGTTTTCTAGCGGAATATTTTCGACTTGCTCTTTCAAAGCTGCAGAGCTGTGACCTCTTTGATGAGTCTGACAAGTGAGTTCATTTCCTTGCCTCTGTTTGACTTTTAGCTTTAGCTGAAGTGGTTCAAAACATGCACCCCGATGTAAAATGTCATCACTTGGGAAAATTCCACAGCATTGGTACGTAACTAAAACATCTAGTAGTTATTTCTTGAATAAACAAACAACACTTGAAATAAACAAACTACAAAATTAATTTAGAAGCTTTGTAATGTAATTGGCTGGCTCAAACCCTTGCAGAAGGTTTGAGATGGGTAATACTAGTGCAAAGTCAGGGCGTTTTTTACCCACATTCTTTTTTTCTAACTTGTTACTGAAGAATTAATTCTCATCCCCTGTTAATCAGCTCACAGCCTCCCTCTGGGGCTGGTTCCCACACCTTCCCATACATTTTCTAAACTGTCCATAAGGATCCTTTCTGTTTCATTTGAATATTGGATTTCAGAAGCAGCTCTCTTCCTTTTATTCAGAATTATATTTGAGGTAAGCAGGAGGCTTGCTTAGATACACACTTTCTGACTACACATGGTAATTTAGCTTTTAGAAAATTTTGATGTCAAGTTCACCCCCTAGAAATTGAATTGCCTGTTGAATTTATAGAGGTAGACTTATTTCACAAAGTTTTAAGCTACAGAGGGATGATATGGGTAGTCTGTAATGGTCTGACCTCCATTAAAAAGTAGAATGCAGAAATTTCCTTCTTGCACAAGAGAACGGAAGCGCTATTGGGGACGGGGGTGGTGCCGAAATGGGTTAGTGGACAGAGGTGTGAAAATGAAATAGAGTTTACATAACAGAGAGGGAGGAACAATGCTAGATTTTGACTGAGTTCATCTCACTTGCCTCTGCCTCTCACCAGAGTTTAGATAGCTCTCATTTGTAGGATATTTGTGTGTGTGCAGCCCTTGGGCATCCGTCTGTGCTTTGTGTCAATTCTCTCTAGTTTTTACCACCACCCTGAAAAGCATCCTTGATGATCTCCATGTTAACTGGAGAAACTGAGGCTAGGCAGACAACTGTATGTGTTTGTGGATGTGACTTAGATGGATTTATCTAGTGCCTAGATTTCTGATTTACAAGTGATAATGATCATTCCTCAGACATTTACAGCAAGTATCTGCGGATATTTGAAAAGATTCTTGGCCCTGTGATGTGAACTACCGACAGGAGACTTAAGGGGATGTGAATGAAAGTTTCCTTTCTGCGTTGTTTTTATCTTAGAACTAGACTGTGCTTTATTTAATTGCTTTCAGAACCTCTCAGGTACGGGTGTTTATCATGTGTGCACTGGGCAGGCTGCTTTCTCTTGCTGACTTGTGCTTGTCACTCTGCCCCCCCCCCACCCCCCGTTGTCACCGAGAGTGCCCCTCCTTGCACCTCCAACTCAGGGCAGGTTCTTAGCATCTCCAGTGTTGGGAGGGAGGTGGGTATGGCTGGGAAGGAGAGATTGGAAGTCATGCAGATTGTACAAGGGTCCTTCAGTCTGAAGTGGAATAAATGCAGTCAGAGACTCGTCAGGTGGAGAGCGAATAGAAAACTTCCTTTTGGATCCCCACAGAGCGGCCTAGCCATGCACTCAGATGCTCAGCATTGCTGAGCTGCTCGCGGGACATGTGCACACCTGTTCCCTAGAGAGACTGTTCTGAAATTTGATAAAGGTGGCTGAGTCAGGAAAAGCCCAAACCTGTAGACAATTTTTATGAGCTTATTTTTGCCAAGCTGACAACAGATGCCGGGGAGCAAGATCTCAGCTGGTCTGGAGAATGGCGCTCTTGCAGTTTATTGTATACATTACAATCAAAGGAGATTTGTCCTGGCCGGTTAGTGCAGTTAGAGTGTTGTCCTGATATACCAAGGTTGCAGGTTCGATCCCTGGTCAGGGCACATATAAGGATCAACCAATGAATGCATAGATGATCGAAACAATGGGTTGATGTTTCTCTCTCTCCCTCTCTCTTCTTCCTCCTCTTTCTCTTTCCTTCCCTCCTAGCCTCCCTCCCTCCCTTCCTCTCTTTCTGTCTCGAAAAAAATTAATTAAAAAAAAAAAGAATCAAGGAGATCTAAGGAAGGTGCATGAAATCCATTGGAAGTAGATTAAGGGCCAGGAGAAACACATACTTTTGCATTGATGGGTGCAGGATAGTCAATAATGAACATTTACGGCACATATAGATGGTATGCAGGGAATAAGGTAACAGTGAGAGTTCTGTGGTCTGGTGCCGGTGGCTGTGCCTTTGAGGGGTAAGAAAAGAAAATTACAGTGGGGTCTTGACTTACAAGTGTCCCGACTAACGAGTTTTTTTGAGATACCAGCTGTCTCTCGGCAGATTTTTTGCATTGAGTTGATAGAGTAATTTGAGTTAACGAGCTCCTTAATGCGCTCGGTCTCAGAACGAATTAAACTCGTACGTCAAGGCCCCACTGTACTCTGACATTTCAGAGGTATGTTATCCCAGATGCATAAGAACAGTGGACAGAGCTCACTTGTGAGGACTGACCTTTGCTAAGGAAGCTGTAGGCCTGGGACAGGACTACCTGCTGTGACCTACCCAGTTAGGGATTTGTGATCGGACCATCCTGTGCAGATACATTTGGTCACTGGGCTTGTCAGGCCTGCATGTGGCCCCCTGAGCCTGTGAGGCTTATTGCAGAGCCGCCTTTTCATCCACAGTAAGAATATACCCATGACACTATCAGCTTCTCTTTGCATATTAACTTTTGAGAAGGGTTCGCAAGTAATAAATTTTACCTGTATTGTAAGTAAGTCATTCAGTGTTTGTCTGGAACCCACTGTACAATACAAAGACAGTAACAGGCCAGCCTGGGCCTGAGCAATACATTTCAAATATATTCCAGAAAGCCAGGTGTACTAGCCTGCCTACTGCTGCCCAAGTCCATTCAGACTGTCCCCTGAGTGACCTGCCCATACCACTTCTCCTCTAGACCTTGCAAAACTGCTCCGGAAGAAGGAAGTCTGAGAACAGTCTCTCTTTCTCAGGCAGAGGATTTGGACTGCCCCTAGTGGGAGAGTCACCCCTACGGCCGACTGTATGCGGAGGCTAGCCCCGGGGGTGTGCGGAGGCAGCCTTGTTGGCCTGGGATTGCTCACTCTTTGTGCTGGGTTTGCAGGCCAGAGAGGAGGGACTGGGGTGCGGAGAGGTGAGAGCCATCTTTTCTCGTCCCTTTTCCTCTGGCTGCTCTCTTCAGCAATACGTGATTCTCCCTCCATCCTCTTCGTCCCTTCCAGAAAGGTTCAGGCATTTCTCTTTTGTTGTTGTTTCAGATGTGGATCCTTTGTGATCCCACCAGATATGACCCTAGCTTGGTTTACTTATCTTACTGAGCACGCATGATGCCGTCAGTTGTGGTAGTTTCCACTGGGAATGGGAGCACTCCAAATACCAGTTGCATTTACGAGATAGGAGTTTGTTCTTTCTCACAGTTGTTGCGTAAATGAAGTTGGCAGGTGAGCATTCCAGGGCCAGCCCAGCAGCTGAGCATCAGGGACCGAGGCTTCTCCATTGTGGCTCTGCATTTCTCTATACAGTTTCCTCTGTAGGGATTCCTCCTTAGGGTCTACATTCTGGCCATCAGGGAGGAGGGAGGGGGAAGGGCACACCCCAGCAGTAAGGCTGGTCTCCTTCTTTCAGGATTTTTCCCAGAAATCATATATAATACTTCACTGCATTCGTGTGAGAGCTGCAGCTCTTCCCAACGCCGCATTCCATGCCATCAGGTGGAAGCTTGAGATGACCCGTGGAGGGGCGATTTGTGCCATAGTGACTGGCAAACGCTACAAACACAAACACCACAAACCCCGGTCTCTCTCATCACCCTTCTTCCTCCCAAAGAGAACTGGTTGCTAAACATTTATGATTATGTCTGGTTGGCTAGGAATATAATCACAAGGCCACACCTAGCTGTAAATACGACTGGGAATTGTAGTCTTTATTCCACCTGGCTGTGTGCCCACCTTAAAAAAACAAAGACCTATTTTACTGAACAAAGGAAACATGATTATTGAAGGGCAACTAGCAGGCTTCATCAGCATTCTGTACCACTGTCCTCGTCCCACCGGTTTGTGCCTGGGAACCGTCAGGGTTCTGAATCGGTTACTTGGTAACTGGAGAGCAACCTAGCCTAGAGCTGGAAGCAGCTGACTGTGGTTTCTCTCTTGGAGAAGTGATACACTGTGCGAACTGTGCAAACACACCGGGGTTGTAAAGCATTCTGAGGTGGCATCTCTTATGAAGGTCTTATTTATGCCATATTTGTAAGGTAATGTTGGTAAAGTGACCTTGAGGCAGAGAGAGCCTTTTTCTAAAGTTAAGACCATGAAGAACTTTGAGCCAGAAATAAAGAGGGGGGAGAACAGGAGTGTGTGTGTTTGGCCAAAAAAAAAAAAACCAAAACAAAACAAACTGTGTGAAGGAGCCTTGGAGCTGTAACAATTCCATGCTTGTTCTTTGCTCTTAGCTCCTCCCTTCCATAGCCACTCCCTGTTTCCCTCCAAAATAACCTCAACAAACCCGCATCTATGTGTGTTTTCTCAAAGCTTTTTGTCACCTAGTGATAATTATAATAATTTGCCTCCTTTTAATAATCACCTCTGTTAGAAAGACATTCACATGTTAGAAAATCACCTTTCCCCTAATATTTTGACTGGAGTTCTCTCTGTTCTATGTGAAAAGATATACATGTGCATTACCCATTTTATTTTATTTAATGAACCTTTTTGGTATGCGTTTGTACCAAAATAAATAAATTAAAATGGGTAATGCACATGTCCTATTGCATGATAGGAGGATGTAATATTGGGCCTTTTCCTTTATATTCTTTCTGAGTTTCTCTCCCAAGCAATAGCCCAGCAGGTTGGGGTAAGGTCAATATTAAGGCTGCTGACTTGTTTCCTAGCAAATCCTAATTATCTAAGTCGGTGGTCGGCAAACTGCGGCTCGGCAAACTGCAGCTTGCAAGCCACATGCGGCTCTTTGGCCCCTTGAGTGTGGCTCT